TGATCGCCTTTGTGATCGTCTCCCGTGGTAACGAGCGAGTCTCTCTGACCGCAGGTTGAAGAGGCGAGCGTGCGAGCGCACAGCCCCCCCCACCCCTCCTCTACCCCTTCATGTTTTTCTCCTCTCTTTGCTCTTTAATGAGTGTCAGGATGACGGTTTTCATACGGAAGTGAGCTGCGAAGTAACAAAAACAACAAGAAAGCAAAAAGAAATGAATGTCGGGGGCGGAGAGAGAGAGCGAGGCTCTCTGATAAAGTGCTTACGGAGCATTTACGCCAAGCTCGCTGCCGATGTAGGGCGCAGACACCTTTCCCGACGCGCTGGGCGCTAATTGATTATGGTGGAAGAAGACGAAGGGGATCGGCGACGGGACGGGATAAACGCCACAGCGACGTAAAGAGCGCAGCGACCCCACCGCGGATGTAACGCTCCTTACATTTTGTCGTGATAAATTAACTGTCACTTACGCTTCCCTCTGCACCTGATTTTGCTAACAAAAAAAAAGAAAATAGGCACGTTTCAATGTGATCGGTAAAGGTTTGTCACATGCGGCGCATTTGACAAAAGCCCCCCACCCCCGAGTTCCCCCTCTCCCCTCAGGATTCTGTCAAATCTGCCGTCTTCTCAAACCCCAGAGCTATTATATCGTCGAGAGCGAGCCTGGAAGTGACTCCGACATTCTTTGTTTGGCATTCCAGGTCGGAAGTGGGGCAGTGGGCAGTAAAAGAGGCAGGGGAATGGGACGCCAAGCGAGAAGCCAGGCTGAGGAACTCAGAACAGATGCATGGGATGCCCATGTCTTCATGGCTGATTTGGCACCCTCTCTCAGGGGGAAGGGCCCACCAAGCAAGGAAGCAGTGATCTGTTGCAGTGCCTGTCACCATGCTATTTACACTCCCCCCCCCCCCCCCCCCCCAGTCAAATGATTCATTTGATTGGCACATGCTGTTACCTCACATGCAGGGGTGTTGATAGTGGTTTAAAGGTGGGGGCATGAGAGGGGGGCACCCTCGCACCTCTGGTTCACCCAGCGCATTTGTAGAATTAACCCAGACCACAGACTGTGACCAACGCCGGGTTAATGGTTCACCCAGGGCATTTGTAGAATTAACCCAGACCGCAGACTGTGACCAACAGCGGGTTAATTTTCTTTTGATTCTTTTACTTGCCTGTTGGAATCACCTGTCACTGGTACTGTCCTGGTCAGCCCTGGATGTGTCCCCCCAGCTCAGCCCGCACCATGCCTCTCACCCCGCCCACACCCCCACCCCCACCTGTTTAGCTGTCCAATAATAAAGATGTGCAGGAATCTGCCCATGGTGCTGAAAAAATAGCTTAAATTCAGTCTGGTTTTTATTGTACATGTTTTTAAAAGTATCCCTCTTTTATATTGCTGTATTACATTATTAGTATTATATCTACAACAATAATACCATCAATAATAATTTCTATTAGTAGTGTTTATTTTTTATTATTAGTAGTAAACATTAATAGTAAACATATGAATAACCTGTTTATATGCTGTGTGAAGCATGGGACCACTACAAATGTGCGTAATATATAAGAAATGGAGCTCATTTGGCACATTTTATTAGGGTTTTTTATGGCATAATACCCCCCACTTAGATGGACCAACCCGGCCTAATCAACTCTTTCTGTGTCACTGTTGCAGCTTTCACATAGAGCGCGCCATTTAAGGCACAGCATCAGCTCCTCCCCTGAGGGTCCAACCATCAGCCTCCCGGTTACAAGCCCTTTCGTGACCAGGTCGCCTTCTGCCTAACTTGGGTCAAACGGTGCTGGCAGGTCTTGGACCCAGAGTCAAGCTCTGCACAGCCGACATACCCCAGAGGACTGTGTTTATTAAACTACTCACGCACATCACATTCACCAGACTCGATAGCTACGTACGTCCGCAGGTCTCCACGCCTCTCCTACACCCATAATTCCTTCCCTAAAATTTTCCTTTCACTTAACTGCCTTGCTTTTCCTTCACGTATCAAGAAATATAAAAAAAATCACTCCCAAACTGCTGTGAAGGACTGTGCAGGTCCTCGTCGGCTTCTGGGGAAGCTGTAGAACGCTTTGATTTGCTGCGGCTGGCAGTTTTGTTTTTTTTTTTTTGTCACAAATTCAGGCGGGCAAGGAAACAGGATTCATTGCACGCTTCATTATTTAGGCTGCTTTGTGTGGCTGCTTTCTCTCAAAGCCACATTCAACGTTCTGCACCTTAACTCCCTGCGATTCGTACTCCTGGGACGCTTTCTCCATACCTGAAACATATTCACTAACATATCCCAGTGTTCTCCTTTGCTTAGAAGTGTGGCTCTCAAACACCCAGCATCCCCTGCTTCTGTATATTACCCAGCACCACCTTCTTCGCCGTTACCTTCTGAGGCACCCGAAAGCAGGCTTTTATTTTGGGCTTGGGTAGAGCACAAGGGTATGACAGAAAGGTGGGTCCTATGGAATCATTGAGGCTTACCCCCATCTACTGGGCGGGACATGCTCAATTTGACTTAGTGGTGTATCATTAATACAGGAATACTACACTGACAAAAAATTTGAAAGGAAGCAATCATTAGATGTAAGGATGTGAGTCTGGATAAAAACCTGCCATTATTCTAAGCTTTCTGTGTCCTTGTTGCAGGGTTGGTTCATAGCACCAGGATTAGGCTCAGGCCGGGGGATGGCTGAACTTACTGCCAAAGGTGTACTCCTTGCCAAAGGTTTTTTTCTCCCTACTTGGTAGTTTTTGGTTCTTCTCCTCAGTTGTCTTTCTCTTTTTTCTTTGTATTTTGATTTCTCGTTTTTGCATTGGTCTCACTTTATGATTTTGCACTGTATCACAACACACCCATGTAAAGCACCTTGGATTGACTGTGTTGTGAAAGGTGCTATATAAAAATGAATTGAATTGAACTTAGTTGAGATGAATTGAATTATATTGAATAAAATTGAATTTCACTAGGTAACTAAAAACCAACAGTGTCAATGTGAAATGTATGAATTACATGAAGATTTCACAGAAGCCCGAATATAGGGGCCAAAAAGGCTCATCAGTCTCCCACAAAATCTGAATTATCACCATAATTAGTCCCCAACAAGGACCACCGATACAACCCACTTGAAAATTAATTTCCTGGCATGACATCATCATCACAAAGGATTCTTCCTCTTAAACAGCTATTGTGCCCACTGGGGCACCATTAAGACATCCAAACCTCAAAATAAAAAAAAACTGAGATTGTACAAAGTCAAAAGAAGCGATTCATCTTCTTCAGGGCAGTTGTTGTACCATTGAACCTAGAGTCAAGCCCCCTAACGTAACTTTCCTACATAAACATGCATCCTGTAACATACAAAATAAAATTTGAAAAACTACATAAATTGATTTAAAAAATGCTGAATAATTTTAAGGAGGGATTTAGACAGAGTTTTTTTTTGAGGGGGAGGGTGCTGATGTTGTATTAATAAATACAGCAGGATCAGAGTCATAAGCGATCATTGGCGCAGCAAATACAATTAGCACATTTAGATGACAGCCCCCACACCATGAATAGCAATACAGAGGACTGGGAATCATCAGAGCCTGTTTAAATAAACCTAGTGTTTGTGTTTCTGTGGGGGGAGGGTGTGATTAGATTTCCATTAATGAGAGGGGTAATGAAGAGGGTGAGGAGGCGGTCTGGGTGGCGGTGGGGGCGTGGGGGTGGGCATTGACTATGTGGCAGTGTATGTTGTAAATTAGGGTCTGGCTCACAGCTACCCCAGCCAGCCTCTCTGTTCATCTTCCGGGACCCTGATTAAAATGTCCCCCGTTAACCCCCCCCCCCCCACACACACACACACACACACACACCCAGCCGCGGCTGCCTGCACGTAATCAAATTAATTAACATGAGGGAGATCTCTGGCTCGTTAATCTGTTTGCAGTGGTCAGCATATATGAGTGGGAGGTGGCATGGGGGGGTGCATGGAGACAGGGAAGGCTGGCCGGCCCCCAATGACCACAGACAGACATACACACACATATTCCTATACACAACACACTCATAGTAATTCAGGCATATAAACAATGACACATAAACACCACACACACTAAATGGACAGAAGATTTCCACACAACAAACCCCTGAACCCCAAAATACACTCACCTAAAGATCCAGACGCAGAGGCGGCTAGTCAGAACCAGAACTGGCCGATGGCTTCAAGTGGTTCTGCACCAATCTCAGGCTGGCATCACGTTCAATCATGTTAGCGACTGAACGCTAATGTTGAAGTCACCATTCATGCTGTGTGTTTCTCCTGAATTTATTAAATGCAGCTGAAAGCCATGGGTGGCCCCACCCCCTTGACCATTTGGTTCCGTTGAATGTTATCATCATCGTGTTGCAAACCTCAGAACTGTCTTTTTATGATAGATTTTCACTCACACTCCACCCTGATCCTAATACTTACTGTCCTTCCAGCCTGAAGCCCTTTCTCAACACAAGTTCAGCTCGTCCAAGGATTAGACACATAGTTGTTTAGACCACTGTTTCCCAACCCAGTTCTTGGGGAACCCCGGACAGGCCACATTTTTGCTCCGTCCCAGCCAATCAGGAACACGGAATACCTGGTAGAGGAGCTGAAACGAAGCAAAAACGTGGACTTTCCACGGTTCCCCAAGGACTGGGTTGGGAAACACTGGTTTAGACACATGCAAATACATGCTAAGACCTCTGAGACAGAAGGGCTTGAAACTGTGACCTCGGTGTGTCTGTCCCCTGCTCTGTGTCTGATCACATGGGATGAGGACAAGACAGTGTAACAACTACTAAATGCCTCAATCCACCCACAATGAAATTATGTAGTGCTCACATTGCGTTGTATAGCACAGCAGAATAGAACGTCTTCTCCTGCCTCCAGGGGAATCAAGAATTAATTGCAGATGTTTCAATTCACATTGTTTAAATACATTATTACCCCTCATAGCAGTCATATTTAATTACGTTTAATTAGCACACAACATGCAGCAGGTGGCTGCTTGCTATGGGTGTTGCAGCCAGCTGTCAACAGGAAATACAGGTGTTACAGCCAGCTGTCAACAGGAAGTGCAGGTGTCTCAAACAGGTGTTATAACCAGCTTTGAACAAGAAGTGCAGGGGTGTTACTTGACCTTACTTGTGTTCTCATTCACCCATTTTTTGTCATCTTCCATTTCCAAGGACCAGTTCCAATACTAAGAACAGAAGTATAGAGGATGGTAAAAATCCCTGGATGTCGATCTTGCCCCACCCCAAATATCAAGGATGCGTCCACGCCAAACGAGACCAATCCCAATCCATCGGTTGCATCCTCGCCCAGTGAAATCAATCCCATGATTCATTCCATCCCAAGTTAATTCTTGGGAGGCAAGTTACCAAAACCTCTCTTGGCAAGGCCACAAGTACAATCTTTGTGTTCTTGGTATTAAGAAACAGTCCAGGTGTCCCATATAGGTGTTACAGGCAACTCTGAACAGGAAGTGCAGGTGGAGGTTGGATGGAGGTCAGGCACAGCTGGCGAGTGCAGAGGGAGATTTCGTTAGTTGCCCTCTCAAGCCAGCTTGATGGATCTCCACTGTTGATCTCCACTTTTCTCTGATGAGAAGTTCCAATCCCCTCCCCCCAAACACCCCATCATCTACCTTTGTCAAGCTAGTATAGTATAAGCCCCCTTATACCCTTATACCTCCCAAAGTCTCACCCTCACCCACCGTCATTAAAGAAAAACAGCTAGGATGCAGAAGCGGAAACAGAACCTAAAACATGTGTGCTTGCGTGACCATATACAAACAAAGACCATATATTCACACATGGGGTGAACACACACTTGCATGCTTCGTGAGGAGGGTCTTCACTGATGATCTTCTTAGGGCCCCCTCCTGGTTTGTTTACAGGGGTGTTGATGCTTTGTGATGTGGCATGAGAAAAGGGGAGGGGGTGGTAGAATGATGAAACTGGCCCAACACCTCGATCCTGCTTTATTTACCAACCCACCCCCCAAAAAAGGGCACCAAAAGCTTCAGAGTCACGTGCAGAGATGTGACTGCACGCCCCCAGCACCCACCTCCTTATACTGATGGATGCACTCACACTCCCCAGTGGTCAGTCGGAGCACGCGAGAGCTGCTGATGTAGCCCCATGGGAAGTAACAAGCTTACCTGCGGATAATCTCCGGAGAGGAATTTCAAGGCGAAATGGAGAGGAAGAGCAGAGAAACTTAGTGAAGTTTAGTCCCCCTGTTTTGCTTGCCCAAGCGCTTTCCATTCTCCGCACATCTCCCTCGGTGGTCAAGCGCTTTTTCACCCAAAAAGCCCCAAGGAAAAAAAAAAAAACATACACAGGTTACACGAGTTTTTCAGCAGCAGACCTCGGGATTCACGTTATTTCTCAGTACGCGCCTGGTCAAGGATTTTCCCTAATCGTGCGGCAGACACAGCGTAAAGCAGCCCGCCTGTACGCCAAAGCAGGCGGTGCTTTTCACCGGGGCCGCTAGCCGCCTCTGGTTACCTTTTCATCTCGGATGCAACATTAAAGAAAAGTCGGGGGCAAAGGCGGCTCTGCGCTTTCTTCCTTAAAAGGGGGGAATGTTTCTGATCTGGGCGAGTTATAAATTTGCCCGACTGTCGCGCAACATGCAACGCAGCAAAAAGTTTATAGTTTCCTTAAAGAAAACACGACTTCATACTGGGTTTCATGTCCCCTTGCTGGAGGTGGGTAAACCAGTCGGGTGAATGTATGCTCCGTCAGTCGGACTGATATAATCAGCTGTTCTTAATCGTTTTTAACTTTGATCATTAACGGTGCTTATCTTTTGCAAACTTAAGGGTTTTCTTTAGCGAAGAGCTGCAGATCTTCTCTTAGCAAAATTAATTTCGAGACTGAAAATAATAATAGTTTATTCGTACAAGAGCGGACCGTTGGGCCTGGGTCAGGGTGGTCTGTGTGCTATGACTTGCTCCCCGCGAACACAAACCTCCTGAAACTGGAAGATATAGAAGAACAACTCAGAAGTAAAAAAAAAAAAAGCCCGACAAAGCATGTATTTCCTATTTTTATTTGCGTTTTTAACGCATTTCCGATTACGATCGAGGGAGGGGGTTATTGACAGTGACCAGCTGGCTGCGTGTCAATCCGCTCCGTTTTAATCAAAAGCGGCTTAATAAACAGCCCACGGCTACATGGACTTCATTAATCAATCGATACTGAAATGAAAGAAGGCAGGTAATTTGGGGGCCTTTAAATGAAAACTACCGTTTGATGGTGATTTGGGCTGGATTGGACTGCGATGATTCTGCGTCCGCTATTTGGGGAGCACGCAAGTTCGACTGAAAAAAATACCTAATTATCATTACTTCCTTTTGCCAAACTCAATACTGCCCACCCCATCTTTATCAAAAATGGAGATAATCTACCTGCTGCCAACTAATGAGTTATGATTTAGAGATTAATCATAACAAGCCGCTCTCCATTCCTATACTAAAGGTGCAAAAGGATGACTAAGGATCAGAAAAGAGGACACCTTTGTCCAAAAAGGGGGACTAAGGCTCAGAAAGGAGGACACCTGTCTCCAAAGAGGGGGACTAAGGCTCAGAAAGGAGGACACCTGTCTCCAAAGAGGAGGACTAAGGCTCAGAAAGGAGGACACCTGTGTCCAAAAAGGGGGACTAAGGCTCAGAAAGGAGGACACCTGTCTCTAAAGAGGAGGACTAAGGCTCAGAAAGGAGGACACCTGTGTCCAAAAAGGAGGACTAAGGCTCAGAAAAGAGGACACCTGTCTCCAAAGAGGAGGACTAAGGCTCAGAAAAGAGGACACCTGTCTCTAAAGAGGAGGAGTATGGCTCAGAAAGGAGGACAGCCGTTGTCGACATCTGCAGTATGTGTGTGTGGGGGTGGGGGGGAGTGTATGCGGGTAGGACAGAGGGAAAAAGTTGGAGAAAGGGGCTAAAATCCAACAGCAGATGAAATTCCAACGAGTGGTCACCCTACAGAAGACGTGGGGTGGGATTCAGACGCACCAAGTTTGTAGATGTTAGACAGCACTTCTGCCTAGCCTGATCTATGGTTATGGTTAATAAAAAAATGCAAATTAAAGTACAGAACAATATTAATCCCAGGTGTTGAATTTACAGCAATGTTAGATCTATGGTTTATGGATTATTAATTTGAAATGCATTACTGTCATTTTCAAAGTGACCAAGTCAGGTGCGAACCAGAGAACGGCATTCTCAGAGGCCGTTTTGTTTACATCGATAGGCTTCTCCTCACCACAAAACAGCTTACACACTATGAGTTCTGTGACACGCGTTCAGTGTTTATATCTGAGGACTGTTCACCCAGTTCTCAGTGCCAAGTAGGTTTTGCTGGCGTTTTCCCAAATCCCCCCCCGATCTATGACTCGCCATCGGTCCCCTGAAATTGAAAGGGACGCCCCCTGTCTAGGTCCCGGGCAGGTTTCCCCTGCAGATGTGAACTGCAGTGGCACCTGACTGCCACATCCTCCTGGTTCTCCTGAAGAGGCTGTCTCCCTCCGAGACAGCCTCCGCTTTCCAAGTGCCACAGGCCACCTCACACACAGCAAATGAGCAAACTGTCACATGCGGAGCAGACAGCTTAAAGATAGTTCTGAGTAACATTCTGTTTCAAGCATAGGGGTCAAAGTGTGACTCCTTGCATAGAACACTAAGATATTTGAAAAGGGAAAGCCATATCTCCTGTTAATCTATGGTAATTTAAAGAAATGTTTGTTTTTATTTTGTTTGACTACAAGGAGTCCTTATTGATGCTTTTTTAGTGCATTTGAATAAGCCTCACGTGTAATCTCCTTTATAGACTCGATACATTTTCATTAAAGATACAGGCTTGCTAATTGGACATATCTTGCTTTCACATACAGCAGACCTATTGTATCCATCCATCTTCCAAAACTGCTTATTCAGTGAAGGGTCACAGTGAGCCTGCAGCCTCTCCCAGCGAGCACCGGGTACACCCTGGATAGAATGCCAGTGAATTTGGCTGCACTGTCACACAATGGGGGATTTTGAGACAATAAGATACCATATGCATGCTTTTTGGACAGCAGGAGGAAACCAGAGAATCCTACGGTGGCCAAGAAAGCCCAATGCAATTCAAAATAAAGAAATGCATGTCTAATAGATGAAGGCGCTGTAACGCAACAAAGCATATTATTCAAGGGCATAACGGACCTGCAAACACACTGCAAATTCGTAGAAGCTGCACAAATTTCGAAAACACTTTCATCAAAATGACAACACATGCGAACCACATTTTACAAGCGCACTGCACATCCACAGACGCCCTTCAAATACAGAAAATACCTGCAACTTCGGAAACAATAGCTATGACACAGCGGAAGTATTTCTGCAGTCACATGCTTGTAATAATGTTTTTAACGTAAACGTTAGAACTTTGCTATTAATCTGGCAAACTGCATGGTTGTAAGTTAGGCTAAACAATCAGTGGCAGTTGTTTTTATGATTTACCTGTGTAGCTCTCTGAGCAATTATAGGCCATAGTACAGCAGTTATCAGTCACATCTAATCTACCATTCACCACACAGCTTCATAATTATTTCCTAATATAATAAAATTGTTCTAGCAATCTGTTCAAATAGAAGATACAGTAGGAACCGCTTATAGTGATCACGTCTGTCTGGGTGAAACTGGTAACTATAAGCAGATGATCATTATAACAGATTTTTTCCCTGTATCTTTATGTCTCAGGCACATGACCTCTAACTGACAATTGTATATTTCTTACATGAATATAGGGTAATAAAATGCACAGCGTCACTATTTACTTAATTTTGATTTCAAAATACAGTACAACCATCTCGAACGAATTTCAATTTATAGCACTGTACAAATTAAATTACTGAACTATGTAAAATTACACAAACACACAAACTCCACCCGCATGGTATCAAATCCCAAAACCTGCAGGTCCGAGGCCACAGTGCTACTCCACCACGCCCCCAGAGGTGATTGTACACTATAAATGTACAATCAAACAAATCTAAAATTGACATGTGCTATGTATGTATATTGTTTTATATGACGATAAACAGAGATAGTATTGCAGTACAAAACACATACGCATGAAACAGTACGCCATAATTGAAAACCTCTTGTAAATCAACATGATTGATTTTGGAAATCATGCCTTGTACCCAGTCGTTGGTTCTGAATAAGACATGCTTAGTTATTTCCTGAGTATCTGAGGGTTTCATTTACCTCCCTACCCCCCCCCGCCACGTATCAAAGTTTTATTTACTGTACGCATGCCTTCTGTACCTAGGAGCAGTAAAACAAGCTGGGG